GCGGGGTAGGCTGCGCCCAGGAGAGGGGGCGGGGCGCGGGGAGCGGGGCGCGGGCGGGGCCGGGAGGTGGGGCGCTGAGTGGCACCTCCGCCGGCCACCCTCGATCGGGGAACGCGCGCGGGGCGGGGCTATGCTAATATGCAAATCGGCTCGCGGTGGGGGCCTCCGCGGCGCGGCGGCGAGCGCATTTTCAGAGGTGACTGGGTGACGTCAAGGCAGCGCGAGGTGTTTCGTGAGTTCGAATCCCGCCGGGCCGCGGGTTCGAATTTCAAATCCTAGCTCCAGGGCCTCATCTTCCCGGGGAAGAATGTCCTCTCCTAATCAGTCGCTTCGTCTTCGGGATAAACAATAATTTCTCCCTTTCGTTGAACCCTCTGAATAAAGCTAGGAGGAGAAATGATATCCCCCTTTTACAGAAGGGGGAAACTGAGTCTCAGAGAGGTTAAACCCAAGGTCATTTGTCCAAGCCTGACTCATAATTTCCAAGGTTTCTCGATTTCCTAAATCCTGGGCTTTAATCTTAAAAAGCAGGTTCCTGGGCCCGCACCCAGATGGAATGATCCAGAATCCTGGGGAAGGGGGAAGGAATGGACCCCTGCAATGTGCATTTTAACAAGCTCTCCTAGTGATGTTGGGAAACATTTGCTATGTCTTCAATAGCATCCAGCGGTTATGGAGGGAAGAATTTCTTATAGAGAAGGAAGGAGCCACCATATTCTGAGACATCAAGACTTTTGTGTGATGCTTATATTCTGTGATTTGAGCCGCTGGCCTCCCAGCTGGGCCCCCCAGGGCTCCTGTCCTCCCCGCAGAACCTCCCTGCTCATCGCCAGCAGTGCACAGAGAGAACCAGCCGCCTGGGAGCTGGCATCTCTCTCCCCAGCCCCTCCCTCCCAGAGGAATTACTATCTAAACAAGAGTCGCAAACTGGTGGCTTGTGGTCCAAAAACGCTCTAAAACTTTTAAATTCGCTGGCAACATTTGAAAATCAGGACATTTCACAAAAAGAAATCCAGATTTCCAGGCGCTCTTGGAGCATCAGCAAGTCTGGGATTCCTGCAGCAATTGGGGGAAGTGGCTGCCACCCTTCACTCAAGGACATCATCGTGTGGCCTCAAAGACAGAGCAGGGCCAGAACTGGGGCGAGGCAAGGGAGGCACTGTTCTCAAATCCAAAACTTAAAGGCGAGCAACACAAACAAACAAAAACACTCGCCATCAATATTTTAAAATTCAAAATAAATGCAGAAATAATCCATGATGAATAAAATACCAAAATTTTAGAGAAAGACAAGATCTCATTCTGCACTTGTGCGAACCACCTCTCTTGTTTCTCCCTAGCTCCGGCCCTGTGAGATACCATCTTTATTTAAAATACTGATATTTTGTTTACCATGGCTGCCTTTGCACTAAATATTGCATTAAAATATGTACCTTGATGGCTGAGTTGTTGGCACCCTCCCTCAAGTTTCCCGCCCCTGGCAAGCACTTCGCGCTCCTCACCCTAGACCTGCCCCTGCTTATAAGTTTGCAAGCTGAGCCCCGAGCCATTTAGCAGATGGAGAATCTGAGGCCCTGTGGGTCCCTCCCCACGCACAATGGGGCTCATGGTGCCTGCCCGCTCCCCTCAGCTGGCTGCAGTAAGTACCGGTCCAGCAGGGCCTGTGAGGTCTCCTGGGGGAGCCACTGGGTGAAGGGCTAAAATGCTCCCACGACTCCCCTGTTTTCTCATCACAGAAGTCCACTCTTCCCACAGCCCCTTCCTTCATCCCCCTCACCCCCCAGCTCTCACCTCCTGGTGCCTCCTCTCCATTCCTCACCTCCTTGTCCCTTCCTTTCTCCAGCCCTCTCCTCTTCCATCCCTCTTCCCTCACCTCCTCATGCCTCACCTCCTCCGTCCCTCATCCCTCACCTCCTCCATCCCTCTTCCCTCACCTCCTCCATCCCTCTTCCCTCACCTCCTCAT